ACTAATTTATAAATACAGCGTCATAGGATCAATAAAAACGTCTCTTTTTCCGTGCGTGTTTACAGTGTGAAAAAGGCTCGTTTCGCTGGAGCGCGAGCAACGAGACGCAGAGCGCGGGTGTCGCGAGACAGCCAACAAGTCATCTGTTAGCGCTGGTCGTTAAAACACCCTCGTGCTCAAATATTCACATCAAAATAAAATGTGTTATTGAGACGGGGAAAAATTACGTGGGTAGCTTGAAATGTGTGGTGCTATTTTACGGGTGACTGTTGTTGTCGATTTTTTTTTTTTTTTGCTTTGATGTTAAAACCGATTGGCTGCTTGCTAACTTGTGCGCGACCATTTTTTGCTTAATAATGCAGCTTAAAGGCGCGAGCTGTGCGACCTGACTAAAAATACTCAAGTAGCTAATATTTTTAGTGGTGTATTGTGTTGGCTCATAAACGTAACAAGTTTTACATCACGGAAATGTGCTAGAAATTACCGGCAGGCTAATGGCAAGCTACATTTGTTTAGATTCAAGCAGAGAAGGAGACATGATTCACCCCCGCCCACTTCAGCACATCTGAAGACTTCCACTAGTTTGTTTCTACAGACAGCACATACCAATGGTTTTATGAACACACAAAATCATACAAAAACAATACTTCTATTTCTACATTTATTTCGCATCAGTATGACGGTAGAATATAGCAGAACCTGTGTTTCTATGCGCACACACACACACACACACACACCATTATGGTGTAAATTCTCACCAGCACACTCTGCTGTTTTTTTAATCTGATTAAATATTTAAGATGCAGTGGTTTAATAGCTCGTTCTAAATATTTAAAATATAGAAAATATGGTTTATGATTCCTGGATATGTTAGAGCACTACATATACATTTTTTATGATATTCTAATAATATAATAATATAATCCTTTGTGTCAATGTCACTAGTTTTTTTTTTTTTACTAGAAAGTTTTACAAAAAGAACCATAAACTGGCGCTTTTGGACTTTTTTTGTCAACTGAACCCCTTAGATGTATAATATTTACCCCCTGAGATTTTAAGTTAATCTATTTTAATAATTTAACAACACATTTGTACAATCACGGTTTTCTGATGTCGGTTAATGGTCACATGATGTGGATGTAAATAGATAAAATATTTAATATTTTGTTTCCATGATTTTATTTAGATTTTTTGATGCTCGACTTTTTCAGTGGACTCAACTTTTTAGTTGTTATTATAATTAATTATATTATGCTTTAGCTTAAGTTACAAAGATGAAGACAAATATATTAGCCTACTGTTGTAAATTACAATTAAACTCAAATAAAATTACTTGACAATAGGGGTGTGCCCTATGATGTGACAAATTACATCTCAATTTTCTCGATAACGATTATTAGACGAAATTTTGCTGAGTTTTTATTGTGTTGGTACTTTGACAGGTTTAGGACTGTCGTGGACAGCCGACTCCTAAAGTTTTTGATATTCTTCATACTCTGCGTGGTGGTCAGTTCACAGCAGTGACAGAAATAATTTTTTCCAATATGTTTCAATTGATTTTTACCTAATATGGGCATTTATACCTAATATGGGCATTTATACTCAATTTCGTAAGTTTAATCAAATTCAATTATAAAAATAAGACACAATAGGGCTGTTACCAATCAAATGAAATCAGTATCAACAAAATTAATCAATTGAATATTGATATTTAAAATTAATTAAAACGAAAAGATACTTTAAATGTGAAATTGAAACCGCCAGTAGGTGGCAGCACGTCACTGTTAATGAGCGAATCATTGAGATTCAACCGATTCGTTCAAACGGCTGATTCATTCAAGGAAAGAAGCATTACTGTGCGTTCACACCGGACGCGAATAGCGCGTCAAATTCGCGTCTACCGCGTCTAGTTTGACGCTTGACCACTTTGTGTTAATTCGCGTGTCAATGGCGAAATCGACGCGCGTAAGGGCCGTTACATAGTCAACGCGAGCAACGCGAGCAAGCAACGCGAGCGACGCGAGCTACGTGCTCCTTTTCATAGTACACAAGCGTCACCGGCGATGCGTCAAATGCAATACACCTATCGCGCAGCAGGGGGTAGTAGAGTCTAGAGTCGGGTCACGTAATATTCAGATCAAAATGGCAACTGAAGAGGAGTGCATATTGCTGATTTTACATCGGCGGCAACAAAGGATGTATACGAACAAGCTCGCATAACTTTTCCTCTTCGCCCGCCATTGTATTCAAATCTTCTTCTTCTGTAAACATAATAATATACCTTTTATGTACATTACTTGCAATGTCTCCCCCACCGACAACGCATAGTATTGCGTGCATCGGCGCGTCGCGTATCAAAAACTAGGATGACACATTTGGCTACGCATCGACGCATAATGGCGGCCGAAGCGTAGCGATGTGTAGCCTTGCGCACGCGTATGCGTTCCGATGCGTTGACTATGTAAGGGCCCTAACAACAAAAGTTTGAAGCGAAATTTACGCGCGTCAGAGGCGAAATCCGGAGGCGAAAGTTTCGAAACCCGTTGGCGGCCATCTTTTTAGATGTTTATCGAGCATTAGCATTAACATTATTCGAGAGAGTCACCGCTCGTATATGCTCTGGAGAGCAGAAACAGCTGCGTAGGGGACTTCGTCGCTGTACTCGGGTCCACCAGAACCTCCGGAGGGTTTCAAGAGTTTCACAATTTGCTCCAGGAGCTAGGTTTGGTGGACCTAATGGTGAGGATGCTGACGAGGACAGCGTAGGCCGTATAAGCCCTCGGCCTCGAGTGGTCTATGCCTGTCGAGCCCGCGCTCTACAGCCCGGCGCGAGGTTCACCCTCATCCGCATCCACCTAATCTGTCATTTATTTTTGTTTTGATAATAAACGAAGCCAGCCCCCAAAAGTGATTAATCTGTCCTGTGATTTTTTTCTCTCTCTCACACATCACTGTCCAGACACTAACTTATATGTTGGTTGTCTTTACATTATAATAATATTTCATATAATCTAGATATGGAATAAATAGCATTCAATACAAAATGAATATGTCTCATATATTGAAATCAAGTTTTATGTGATAAAATATTTGCTTTGTTGTGCATTAGAACCACAGTCATATATTACAAAATAATTTATTGAAGCATCCAGATACTTCACCACGTGACAGCAGCAAGCAGCTAGGCTCCTGATTGGTTAACGCGGCGCAAATTGACGCAGAAGTTCAGATTTTTCAACTCGGGCGGCAGACGCGAATTCGCGTCAAACGCGTGAATGCACAAATAGCACTAACTAAATCATTCGCGCGTAACGCGCCAGACGCTCAATTCGCGCGAACTTGACGCGCGAATGAGGCGTATTCGCGTCTACCGCGCCGCGCTCTACGCCTCATTCGCGCCGCAGGAATTTTTTACGCGCGTAACGCGTCTTTGCATTGACTTAACATTGAAATCACTCGCGCCTGACGCGCTATTCGCGTCCGGTGTGAACGCACCATTAGACCATCTTAATCTATCCTAGTCAACTGATTCGTTCAGAAAGCTGATTCACTCAGTAAGTGTGTGGCTTTGTTTTGAACTATTTTCGTTGGTGAAATAGAGCAAAAACAGGCAATATGGTGACTAAAATGTAAGTCGGCTGATATATATGTACATTTTTTATGTTATGGCTGTCGGCTCGAGATAAGAGAATTAAGCCTATATATATTAAAGCCGATAAATAATGGATTATATAACGCTGTAGTAAAGTGCTTCAGTTTACTGGTGGTGATCATCTTGAGGATGCACCAATAGGAATTTTTTGGTCGATACTATACCGATTTTTACAAACAACAATTGGCTGATAACGATATTTGTCACTTGCTCTCTCATTTGCATTTTGACATAATTTTGTGTGAATTAAAGGTGAAAGAGCACTCAATACAGTATTTGTGCGCTGTTTAAAACGCAGCTTGCAGGCACGAGCTTTGCATGTGTGCGCACACAACTTCTCACACAGTAAGTAGAACTGAGCTGTCTTTCGCGTTGTGCTTGAATATTTAAATTCGCGAGGCTTAAAAACACGTGCAGAGGATAAACTTTCATGAAGATGCAGCACTGGTCTAATCTGGACAGTGACCGGTCCACCGCGTGAAACTGTTTATTCAAACAATGAAATAACATGACTGTCTGTAAAAAAAAAAGTGTATAATGTTTATAAATCAAATATAATTTTGTAAATTGCATAAACAATTATGAATAAAACAGCATTGTATATTTATGCATAGTTTAATACAAAGAACCGAAGCGCTGATTACACAGAGTACTTTTTGCATATAAAAACATGCATTGGATTGGATCCCCCACAATGCCTCGACTTTCGAGACGTTTTTCTTTTTAAAGTTGAGTTTCTTTTAACTTTACATGGCTTTCTAAAGATGCAGCTCTGTCTTGCAATGGTCAAAGATGTCAGTCTAGCGCTTTACATAGAAAACAATGGAAAAGCAGCGCAGAAAATGCGTTCTGGGTGAACCACTCGGTCACGGTTCGGATGTAACCAAGATCTTCTCCGCACAACTGGGTTCAACTGGATAGGCTGAGAAAGGCATTAAAAGGCAACCACGACTCTCACATCAGCGCATCTTGTTCGCCACTGATAAGGCTGCCTGACACACACCTAAAATTTGAACGCACCATTTTTTCATTCGAATGTGGATTTTATTTTAAATTCGACTAATATTTTAAATTCAAATTGAATTTGACAGCCCTACGGTGCATCCCTGCCTGATCTAGACCAATACACATGGCTTAATTGTCCTTCAAAATTCTCATTTCCTTTAAATATTAAGTCATTTGTCTAATAATAAATTAAATTAATCAAATGCAAAATCATAATTGCACAGCAATATTTTCATTGGGGCTTTTGTAACTTCTATTGATAGTATAGTGGAGTAGAGTCATAGAACAACTGAGACCAATCACTGGACGCCTACGTAAATGTCTGTTCCCAGTTTCTATTCTCAAATCCCGTACGCAAGAGCGTGAAGGTTTGCAACCAGGTGCCTCAGTTTTAACCCATTACAGTCTTCAATAGTTTGCGCTGACATAAATCCCCATTGATTGGGTGATGGTTTCCCCCTCTTTTTGTGGCACTCCTAAAGACAGGCAGTAGGGTGCTGTGGAGACCTTTCTTGTCAACGGCAGCAGGGAAGAGATCCGATTGTTTTCCTTGAGTTGCCATGACTGATTTCCGGAATGGAATTTCCCAACAGCCTGAATATCTCGCATTCAATGTTATTAATGTAGCGGTATTGAAATTTGAAATGAAATTTATGCAAATATGCATGGTGCTGCTCTGCACCTTTTTCACAGTAGATGAACTGGTTTTTGTCTTTTCCAGTCTTACATGTGACTTTTGGGACAATGAGGCTGAGAGTGCGTAAGGCATCTCAGCAGCGGAGCGCCACCCCGTCCGCCCGGACTGCCAAGACCAAGAGGAAGCTCTCCGAGGTGGAACACGCTTTGCCCTCCGAAGACGGCAAGATGCAGAAACGAGACACGGGCATTTTCTCCACCATCAAACGGTTCATCAGAGGCAATGCTGTCAAGGTTAGGATTTGAAAGTGGTTTTTGAGATGATTCTGGAGTCCACGACACAAGTGCGGTTTGATTTGAGCTGTATCTCTTAATGTCAGGTGGAGCAGTGCCCTCCTGCTAAGAGAAGCCGTGTAGACTGTGATTCGGACAGTAATCTGATCACATCCACTCCGACCGGTGGGAACCTGCCCAGCAGAGCAAACCCCAGAGCCCGCAGGAAAGGCCCTGTCAATGGAGGTAGGAGTGCTGACACGCACAGATAAACAGGCTACTCTTCTTTTAAGAGTTCTGTATGTAAATGAGCTTTGTTGTGAACGGTTATGCAGGCTGTCCGCGATCTATCGGTGTTGAATGTTTCTCATTTTCTTCTGCTCAGATACTATGACCGGTCAGAGTATACCAGTGAAGCCCAACGGGAAGCTGGAGGTGCAGGCAGAAACCCCGAGCAGTCCCCCCCGCACCACCCTCCTGGGAACCATCTTCTCTCCCGTTTTTAGCTTCTTCTCACCCGCCAACAAAAACGGTAAGGGCCTGTGATCGCACTTGTGAGCTGATTAAATGTATGTGCCTAAGTGACATGAAGTTAGTCACTTTTTCAGTCCTTTTGATATACAAAAATGTGTGAGAATAAAAATGTAACTAGGTACTAACCCTGAACCTACCCCTAAACCTACCCCTAACCCATGTACTTACCTTATATTAGCCAGTACTTTCTAGGTAAGTACACGTAAGTACTGTACTGTAAAAGGAAGCGTTACCAACATAAAATCAATGTTGAACATATTTATTTTATTTATACATATTCCTTGGGCCAGATTGATGAAATATTTAGAATAAAATTCTTCTTAACTGATATTTTTGTCTTAACTTTATTCTTAAGTTAAAACAAATATATTCTTAACATTTCTTAATTTCTTTTTCTTAAGACTGCTCTAAAACTGAATTCCTGAAATAAATGCTTCAAAAGAGTATCAGTGTTGGGATAACTTCCAATTTGAAGTCCATCTTGTGACAGGCTCTTTAAAAATAACTATTTAAAATACACACCGTATTAAGAATCCACTTTTTAGCAGAAAGCTCGGGCAGGCGACTAAAACTGGAGAAAATAACGCTTTTAATAAACAACATTATTGTGCATTGCTGTTGATGCTTTTATAGTATAGTTATCATTATCATTCTTGGTTTGAACTGGCCTTTTTTGTGTACAATTCAACAGCACACAATATTCCAAAGGGAAAAAATGGGTAACACTTTATTTTAAGGTGATGTAGTTACATGTTACTACATGTACTTAAAATAGTAATAACAGTAAATTATGCACAATTACAAGTAACTAACCCTAAACCAAACCCTAACAATAACTCTATAGTAAGTACATGTAGTTAATTGATATTACTCAGTACTTATGAGTAAGTACAATGTAACTGTCATCATAAAATAAAGTGTAACCAGAAAATACTAACCAATAGCGAATTAGACATTAGCCGCTTTTCCTCCGTTGGTCCGGATGGTTCTAAGAACCGTAAGGAACGGTTAGTTATATTTCATTATACTGGGTCTATGATCCTAAAATGAACAGAATGCTCAGGCATACCTATTTTCTCTCATCATAGTCACGATGTTGCCCGTCACAGTTCGGGACAGGCATCAGACCTGCGTCTCCTCGCAGCAGATCTTTGTGTGTGTGTGTGTGTGTGTGACAGAGGGATTCCTGCTGCTGTTTTGTCTCCTTTACACATTTTATAATCTCTTAATGGGTTTTCAGCTGGTCAAAATACCATCACATGTAGCGCACATACAACGAGCACATTTATCCCAGTACACAGCATTGTTTTGGATGATCTGTGTTAAAATGGCAATTTGAACCATAGGTGAACCATACATTTTTTTGGTCTGGACCGGACCAATTGAACGAAGCAAACCAAAACTACAAGTGTGAACACGCCCATAATGTAGAACTAAAACTAAGAGCTAAAATTCAAAGTGCATCATTTCTGAGCTAAAGCAATTGTGCAGAATTGAGACTCTTCGCTGCTGTCTGAGACCAGTCACACCTGCTGCTAACTGAAACATTTACCATTTACAGATGAAATTGCAGCATTTCTTGTGAGTTTTTTTCTGATTTCATCACTGTTAAACTGAGCCGTCCTCATCCTTCAGCTACAACGGGCTCTGACTCCCCGGGTCAGGCGGTGGAAGCTGAGGAGATCGTGAAGCAGCTCGAAATGGAGCAGCTCGAGGAAACCCCGACCAGCACTACCACCGACGGCCGAGACCTGACCTTTGACCCTGCACTAAACCCTCGACCGCTGCCTCTCGTAGACACACCGGTAGAGGAAGCAGAGATCGTCACAGAGGCTGATATGCCTCCGCTAACTGGTGAGTGTCTGGCATGTTCTCCAGCTGTACCGCTGCCTGAAGATCACCATCCTCACATTTTCTCTTCTTGGTTAGCCGTAGGATGCAACAGCAATTACCCGGATGTCCCGCCATCACCTCCTCCAGAGGGGACTTATGAAGAGGACTGGGAAGTTTTTGACCCGTGAGCCTAATTTCAGCATGCTCTAAATCTGAATAACTTCAATATAGACATGCTTGTGTGCTAACTTGTCTCTATCTTACAGTTATTTCTTTATCAAACACGTGCCACCCTTGACTGAAGAGCAGCTCACCCGTAAGCCTGCGCTCCCTCTGAAAACCAGGAGCACGCCCGAGTTCTCCCTCGTCCTGGATCTGGTACGTTGGCATTCAACTCTGATCTTAGTAGTTCGATGCAAGCTCTTTTTGATGCAAGGATTAAGCCGTCACTGTGGTTTTATTCCAGGATGAGACGTTGGTCCACTGCAGCCTCAATGAATTGGAGGATGCAGCTTTGACCTTCCCTGTGCTTTTCCAAGACGTCATTTACCAGGTACGGAACGAGCATCTCAAACAATCAATATTTCACATTTGTCACAAGCTGTACTGCTTTGCCCATGGCTCTGTTAGAGTGATTTGCTTTCTTATTCCTAAAGGTGTACGTCCGGTTACGGCCATTCTTTAGAGAATTCCTGGAACGCATGTCTCAGATTTATGAGGTGAGGTGTTTTTATTATTATTTTGTTTTTGTTTTCAGTTCCGTAATGGAGTTGACATGATTTATTTATGAAATCTTTGAATAAACATTTAGTTTATTTGAGGTTGTTGTGAAGCTCATATGCAAAGTCCCAGCAATCAGCACATACAAATGTGTGTCCCATTCATTTATTAAAGCAATAAAGGCTCAAATCCAATGTTTAAAGATAACTATTAAATATATGCGAGTAATTATTAGCTAACAAAAAATAACAGCACATGAAAAGTACCTAATATTTTATATATATGCACACAAATCTGCTGAACTGGTTTGATTTATTCTGGAAACTGATATTTTATTATTTATATTAGGGCTGTCACGATTCCCCGTACTCTATTTTTAAAAAATCCTCTAGCAATTTACCCGTGTCGATTAAATACCGGAAGGGGTGCTTTCCACGGACGAGAATCCATGAACCGCATTATCAGACCGTTTTCAATGGCTGCACGATATATTCAAAGCATTTAAAAATCATAATTGTGCAAAAAAAAAAATTGGTAGCTGAAAATTGTGCATTCCTAGTCGTTGAACTTTTTTTTTCTTCTTTTTTTCTCGAACCCTAATGAATATCCTGTCAATGATGTGGTCTACCGTTTTCACCTCTGACTGGCGTTAATGACATAACCTTGAATTATCTGCAGATTATACTCTTCACCGCTTCCAAGAAGGTATATGCTGACAAGCTGCTGAACATCCTGGATCCGAAAAAACAGTTGGTTAGGTCAGTTGCTTAAAGTAGTTTTTGTGTCTTGTCTCAAGCAGGTGCTCTTTCAATATAATTCTATAAAGTGAAGTTTAAATGCATTAAATTGCAGCTGCATTAATAGTCTGGAGGTGTGATGGGAACAAATGTGTCTGAATTCTCAAGTTGAATGATGTTTAAAGTGAGTATTAAGCTCTTTTCCCCTCGTATCTCAGGCACAGATTGTTTCGCGAGCACTGCGTATGCGTCCAAGGCAACTACATCAAAGATCTTAACATCCTCGGGAGGGATCTCTCCAAGACGGTGATCATAGACAACTCTCCTCAGGCTTTTGCCTACCAGGTTCGTGAAGCCGGCCTTGGGTTTCACCTTCGTTGATGTGGTCTGTGCTGACTTATTAGTATGTAAAGCTCAGGATGTGCTTCTCTCATTGCAGCTTTCCAATGGGATCCCCATTGAGAGTTGGTTTGTGGACAAGAATGACAATGAGCTCCTAAAGCTGGTGCCGTTTTTGGAGAAGCTGGTAGAACTGGTATGTGCGTCTTGTCTTTTGTGTGCTGCTTTTTATTGATGAAGGCATGGTAAGGTTTTTATTCTCCAGAAAATTCAATGCTTTTTGTATTTAAATACTAATCATAAATCCTTAAATTTAAATCCTATCTTAGTTTAATGAGTAAAGACATAAATGTAAGAAAAAAAGTATTTTTTTGTTTTGTTTATAAATATTACGTGTACATTTTTCTATTGATATTGATTCTATTGATTATTTTAACTAAAATTACACACTTTCATATGTTTTTTTGTTGTTGTTTTTTTAAGATAGTACCAGGGTTTTTTCACAAACTTTATTTTATTTGACTTTTTATTATTAACAGTCAACTTTTCTATGTTTACCAAAGCATTTTTACCATATTGTGAAACTGGCCGTCGTCTGTAATACCACGATTATCCATGATCTGCGTCAGATTAATATCTATGTTTTGGGTTCGGGTGTCACGCACTTTTAAGTTCAAAATAATTGTCCACACGTGTGCGTTTGAAAGCAGGCGTCTATCAGCAGATCCATCTATCAGTGGATATATTAGAGATCAGCTGATAGACGCCTGCTTTCGCCGTGTGTATCTGTGTAAGCTCGGTGAAAAAGGTCAAAGACATCTATTTATAACATGTTTTTGTAGCCAATCACAGACATATGTTAAGTGCGTGAACACTCGGAGATGAAGGAACGGCTGGTCGAAATCTGCCTGCCTTTATAATGTCTATAACACACTATCCATTTGTTTACATCCACTTCCTCTTGAGATCACGCGAGGTGCTAAATCTGGCATGATAATCTTAGTTGTGTGTGTGATGCGTCACGATTTTCGAACCTTGAAGTGTGTGCAGGTTTAAGATTTGAAGGAAGAAACTCCTGTAGTCTGAGTCCTCTTAAGGTGTCGTGTACAACTGTGTTTTTGTTGACTTTGTATTTTTTGTGTGTTGTCTTTATTCCAGAACGAGGACGTTCGGCCATACATAAGAGAGAGATTTCGCCTGCATGACCTTCTACCCCCAGACTGAATGTCCAAGAAAAGGAACATTTCTTGCCAAGCAGACTGTTTTTAAGCAGCGGGGGAAGGAGAATTTGCCACAAACTCTTTGCCATAAGGATTTCAACTACAGACTTGCCTACATGGGTGTTCTTTAATGTGGGGCGGGAGGAAGGGAGGGGGGCTCTGGACTAATGTTTTAAGACAAATGACTTGATGTATGCATATGTTTTCTATTCACACACACTCATTTATGGACGAGAAGATGATTTCTGATGGGTCGTCCTGCTCTGCTCTGGAGTGGAGTCTATGCCTGATTCGGACTTTAACGTAAAGCGCTGTGCAGAAGTGGACTTGCGTCACTCATTTTGGTGCTCTAAGGGACCCTCTGCCCTACCAGGCCACTGGCTTACTTCAACGAGAATATGAACGGTTGAATATAAAACTATAGAACATGAATATATACATTCAACTATGTGTGTATATGTATATATAACATTTGTACATATATATTTTTTCCTGTCAAGTTTGTAAAACACAACTTGCCCTTTGGTTTTAATTCATTATGCATTCCTTTTTTAGTTCAAGGTGTTTTTTCATAGACAAGCTGGCTTTTTATTCTTTCTTTTTTTACTCTAGATTTGATGTGTATTAAATGGCCTATCCGTTTCGCTCTAGCTTTCTGGTGAAGTGTAATCAAAATCCGGCGACATCCGCGTGGAGCATATGGAAACGCATCATTGCTCATTTGTAAATCTCGACTCGATTCTCTGTCTTGTGGTTTCCAGTTACTGACCGCTTACTACCATTTATTCATGTCAGTCCTAATTTGAGGAATTTTAACTTTTTTTGTTCTTAGTTTGTTTTTATATACAAGTATAGATGAAATGTAAAATACTGTATGTGCTTTAAATTGCTTTTCTGTGGAAAAAAATAATAATGCTTTGTCTCTTTCAGAAATGTCCGGTAATTGTAGCACCAGCACATGAACTAGCTTAAATCACTGCATATCTGCAATATTCCCTGTTTTTTTGTTTTTTTCTCTCTCCTGCAATCCTGCTTTTAGGAATTATCATGTACAGCTCTACCTACCTCTGAAGGGTAGACCTTCCGTTTCATTCAGTGTTACCCCCCCCCCCCCCCCCCCCCAAATGGTTTTTATTTCCATGGACATTAATACATGATTTTTATGTACCAGTACAATTCGAATTGGTTTTTCTTTGTCGTTTGGATGAGAGTTTCACATGTGGCCTTGATTTTAGTTTTTTTTACTTGTCAGTTATGACTTTAAGCTTATCATCATAGTTCTAGCTAAGGATGCACCGATATGACGATTTTGGCCGATACCGATAATACCTTATATTTCAAAGCCGATAACTGATTTGTTGGCCGATAAACCTAAATTGATGATATTTTTGAAGTGTCTCAGCTCATTATTTATCAGCTTTAAGATGTTGGCCAGATTTTTTTTATCTGGTCGATATCGATAACGTTAAAAATACCGATATGGTGGCCGATATATTGTGCATCCCTAGTTACAGCTCATGCTTTTTACGGTTCAGGAGGAAATAAGACACCGGTGATCTTGAACTGAGAAATTTGAAGTTTAATAGCAAGGTTTTTAATAGAATTGGTAATAATTATTATAGCCTACAATCTCTGGCAGCTCTTGTCAATTTAGATGAATATTTTCTCACAAAATGGCAGCTTCTGTTTTGGGAGTATTAACTTACTGTCAATTGATCATTATGGATAATGGATCAGATAACTAGATTTTTTTTTTTTTTTTGTGATTGCAATGGATGAAATGAGTCTTTTGATGGAATGGTTGTGTGTTTGGTTGCAAATGTTTGTGAATGAAAAGGCCTTTGTTAAAGATAGATGTGAATGCAATGAATGTATTTCAGTGCAGCTTTTGCAGCACACATGGAGCAACAAGACGACGTTCTTTAAATCTTTTCAGATTATGTATAATATTTGTATGTGATGTTCCTGGAATGGTATTTTTTTATATAGTGTCAGTGAAACTGAATCCCGTATTGGGTCCTGGACTTTGGTTTAATGTAGCTGACTATTAAAAACAACAACAGCGGTTAGTCACTGAAAACAGCATGCTGAAAAGTTCAAGACTGAAACATTAAATTTGCTGTTTTTGCACATTAGAAGGTTTCATTTTTACTGTTAACTGTTTTCTGTCGTTTTAAAATTTATTTAAAAGAAATTGCAAGGTAAAGTTCTTTGAGATATAGATATAGTCTAGCTATAATAAATTTAGTTCTTGTAATAGCTCAAAAACCACACACTTTCTTAGTATGTATTTGATTGGAAGTTAAAATCATAATCTATAAATAGGATTTAGAGGGAACACCCTTCATCCCAATATCAAAAGTTACAAAAATAATTTAAATTTATAAAATCAAAAGTATAATCATTTTATTAAATAAATACATAATTATATTTTAATTCATTGTATATATACATGTATATAAACAAAATCATAATTATTTATTTAATAAATTACATTTTATAATTTGGGGCCTAAAATACATACTTTGCCTGTTTAAATCTTAAATCATTATAATAAATCATTTTTCACCAAGTGCACAGTTAAAATCATTACTTCTATATATTTTCCAATATAATTAAAAGTCTATTTACACTATCTAAAAAACTTTTTTTATAGTTATTTGCAATCTCTCTCCACCTTGTTATATTATGGTATTTTCACCTACATTTTACTTCATGCACTGAATATTGTTTTACATTGCACAATAACTTCTGAGTTAGTAGATGCATCTATTCTTTGATATTATGTGAATAAATAGTGCTGTCAAAACGATTAATATATATATATATACATTTATATATATATATACATTTATTATTATTATTATTACATTATTAAATACATTTATATTATATAAACAAAAACTTACTTAATCGAGATTAATCGATTTGACAGCACTAGAAATAAAATATTGGAAAAATAATGCAAATCATCTCAAATCATGTATTATATATAATATAATCATCTACAGCTACTTCTAATAACTAGTAACCATGGTGTGTGCTTTGATGGGAACTCTGTGTTGGTTACCATTGAAGGTCTGCGCAGTGCGTTCCTCCAGTCCAGCGGGCGGCGTCGCATTCCCTCTCGCGCTCCACATGACCCGTGAGTGTTCAGTGTAAAAGAAGAGGAGGCCTGTTTGATTTCTAGCCGTCTGGTTGCGAAGTTCTTGTCCGCTGAAAGTCGCTCGTTTGACCGCGGGCTCATGTCGAAGGACGGCCGGCACGATGGGCGCCGGCGCGGCGCGGCTCAGCAGCACCGGTTCGGGATGAGAGCGGCTCAGAGCGGAGACGGCAGAGACAGGTCGGCCAGTAACAGCTCTGGATCATCTCATGGAGGAGGGAAAGGCAGGAATACGCCCATCAACATCGCCCTGAAGGTAACAAACAACGGCTGGCTCAAAACACACTGACCTGCTGCCTACATAGACAACATAAGTTCATTGTGGGACGCGGTGAACGCGCATGTGAAGCACGAACTGCTGTCTGGGTAGGCAGCTGTCAGTTATGTCAGTTACTATGGTAACAACACTTTCCCATCAAAATAGCATAGTTGCTACAATACAAAACTGTAGTAAAATTTTGATGACTGCTGTCATTCAAGTCATATATTTCCTTGTTTAGGATTTATAGGATTAAAGAACTGTACGGTATTTTAGTGAAATATGTTGTCTGGGTAACACAGTGAACTTAAGGTTGTGATTGTGCGAGCTAACGTTACTCTACTCGTGTGGCTCATGTGATTGTATAGTTATTCTTGACTTGGCTGTTTTCAGACCCATTATGGATTTTAAAATCACCCAGATACACAACACAAACGCAACCATAACAGTAACACAACGCAACATAACATTGACATAAAAGTACCTAACATGATTATGACAAAAATGACTACATGACAGTCAGTAATACAATGCAACACAACATTTACATGACATAACAGTAATGCAACATACAGTTACATTTATATGACATGACATAACAGTAGCACAACAAAACATTATATTAAAATGACAATAGCATGGTTACATAGCAATAATACAATGCAACACAACATAACAGCATCGCAACATTTATATCACATGAGATAACAGTAGCACAACATAACAGTATATTAACATGACAATAACATGTCTACATAACCGTAATACAATGCAACATAACATTTACATGACATAACAATGTATCATTAATAACGCAACATGACAGTACATAACATTAACATGACAGCAGAATAGTGCATAACAGTAACACCACACACAACATAGCAGTACATAACAAACATAACAAGATAACAGTAACACAATTTAACATTAACATAACAGAGCATAACATTACAATAAGATGACAACATAACAGTAATACAACATAACATGTCATAACACATAACCGTAACTTATCGCAAAAGAACATTCCCATAACAGTACATAACATTAACATGACAGTTCATAACATTATTTACAATAACACGATAACAGTAATACAACATTACATTTACATAACATAACAGTAAGACCACGCAACATAACAGTGCATAACATCATCCTAACAACAAAACATTACTTACAGTAGTACAATGGAACATAACATTAGCATATCAGCAAAACAGTACGTGATGAGGTGCAACATAACATATGTAAGGGCTAGTGTAGATGACTGGTTCTGCAACATCCTGAAGGTTTTTTTTTTTTTTTTGGCCATAATGACGCCTGACTGATTTCAATTGCATGGCTACTTTACAAATAAATAAACACAAAGACATGAAACATTGCTTTGAGTTTAAATGGTTTGGTGAAAGCAAAGAGAGCACAGAGGCTCCAGGAACACCCTTCAGGTTGAAGACCTGATCTACCTGTCTGTGTTTATTTAGTCATTTATGACCATCTGTATTTTATTCTGCTTATTATAAAGTTGCATAACAAATAAAATATATACATGAGACTGAGACAGAACTTGAGCTCAGGCAGCAGTTTGTTGAATTCGTTGATTTA